ACTCGCCGCAACCGCTAACATGTGTATCTCCCCCCACAAGCCCTGTGAACACTACCACATTTGAGCACCATAGTTTTAATCAGTCATACCAGTTTGATGGGCGAGTAGCATGTGGAGCCCATATTTCTTCATCTTGTGTCGGCCTCACTTTGGATAATGGGCTTAACTTAATCCAGGATAGCATTAACGGTGCAAGCTCACTGTTGTTTCTTTTAAATCGAGTAGTAATCCATTGTGAGCAATATACACATTTTAATTAATCCGCTCATGAATTGACGGACACTTGGCTTGTTTCCATGACCTCGCAATAGTGAATTGTGCTGCCATAGACATTCGGGTGCAGATGTCTGTAATATAATGTCGTATGCTCCTTTGGGTAGATGCCCAACAATGCTATTGCAGGGTCAAATGGTATTTCTATATCTAGCTGTTTGAGGTATCTCCAAATTCTTTTCCACGAAGGTTGCACTAATTTGCAGTCCCACCAGCAGTGTAAGAGTGTTCCTGTCTCTCCACATCCTCACCAGCATTTGTTGTTTTGGGATTTCTTTTTTTTTTTTTTTGAGACAGGTCTCGCTTTGTTGCCTAGGCTAAGAGTGAGTGCCGTTGCGTCAGCCTGGCTCACAGCAACCTCAAACTCCCTGCTCAAGCGATCCCTTCTGTCTCAGCCTCCCAAGTAGCTGGGACTACAGGACATGAAGCCACCATGCGCCGGTCTCATTTTTTCATACTATAGTAATTAGTTGGCCAATTAGTTTCTTTATATTTATAGGTAGAGACGGGGTCTCGCTCTTGCTCAGTCTGGTTTCGAACTCCCGACCTCGAGCAATCCGCCCGCCTCGGCCTCCCAGAGAGCTAGGATTACAGGCGTGAGCCACCGCGCCCGGCCTGGGATTTCTTGATACAGGCCATTCTCACTGATGTTAGATGGTATCTCATTGTGGTTTTGATTTGCATTTCTCTGATGATTAGAGAATTGTTGAACAATTTTTTATATGTTTGCAGGCCATTATCCTGTCTTCTTTGGAGAAGTTTCTGTTCATTTCCAATTGCCCATTTCTTGATGGGTTGTTTGATTTTTTTCTTGTTTATTAATATTTTTATACGCCATTATTGTTTTCCTTTAGTTTTGTTTCTGTAGTATAGAGTTTATTCTGTTATTAAACCTTTATCAGAGTGACATTATATGTACCCAGCAAAATATTTTGTATACTTGTGTATATTGATTTTATAACCTGAAACTTTACCAAATTTATTTATTAAATCTAGGAGTCTCTTGGATGAATCCATGGGGTTTTCTAGGTATAATATCATATCATCTGCAAAGAATGAGAGTTTGATCTCGTCTGCCCCCACTTGGATGCCCTTAATACCCCTCTCTTGTCTGATTGCTATAGCTAGGACTTTGAGCACTATGTTGAATAGAAGAGGAGACAGTGGGCATCCTTGTCTAGTTCCGGATTGAAGAGGGAATGATTTCAATTTTTTCCCATTTAGAATGAGAATGATATTAACAGTGGGTTTGTCATAAATGGATTTGATAAGTTTAAGGTATGAACCTTCTATGCCTATTTTTTTAAGAGTTTTTATCATAAAGGTGTGTTGGACTTTGTCAAATGCTTTTTCTGCATCTATTGCCAGAATCCTCAAAAACATTTAAACAGTACTCACGAGAGGTAAAAACAACCGACAGTTTTAATTCTCTGTAGCTGTCCAATAAAAAGGGAAAGGAAAAAAGTACTGAATTTTCTCCCTACAATGTTTCCATATGGCAACCCTCTGGCCCCACCAGGGCAAGCTTCACCCCTCACCTCAGCGGTGGGAATTCTGAGTCAACTCACAGCTTTATGGCTGTGCTCGGATCACACCACGTTTGGAGGATTCCTGACCAAACTGAAATCAAGGGAGACTGCCTTCTCCATGTCAAACTCTGTTAATAAATTAATGTGTTTGGTTCTTTTCATAAAGGAGAGAGTGAAATGTTCAGGACTCCAAGAGTTAGACAGTCAAAATGGCTTTTAAAGTAAGTCTCTTTTACTTATGGCTCAAGATTATGTTAAAGTGATCATCAGGTGTTATGAACACTGGTTTCTCACCCTCTGCCGCTGAGGTTTGCTTGCTTGTGTTTCTTTCTTCTCAAAATCCCAAACAGTGAAGCCCTCTGAGGCAATGCACCAGTGGGAGCTCATTCACAGTCAAATCCCTCGGATGTGCAATTCTGATGTGCAGAGCAGACTACCTCTCCCTCTTCTGGCAAAGATGATTGACAGTGGACATATAAAATTACAAGTTCTTTTTCTCATTTGGGGCACTGAGAGATGGGAAGCCCCAACTTTCTACAAGAAATATCATAGAACAGAAAGCTTGTATAATTTCTCATGGCGTTGAGCAAAAATTTTCAATTTCACAGAACACTTACATCTGATCCCTGGTATGCAACTTCAGCTTTCCAAAACCTGCTTAAATGCTAATAGGACTCATAAAACATTTGTAATAAATAATTCCATAATGAAAAATAATTTTATGACTTAGCCCCATGTCTTCTATAATAACCAATGTTACAAGGTCAGAAGCTGCTTGTAAGAAGCCAGGGAAGGGGGACGTCATCAACCAGGTGTGTCAGGGAGCTGCTGAGCACTCAGTATGTGCACCAGGAGGTAAGCATCTACACTCTCCATGACCAGGAAAGCTTTGGCTGGGCATGGTGGTTCACGCCTGTAATCCTAGCACTCTGGGAGGCTGAGGTAGGAGGATTGTTTGAGCTCAGGAGTTTGATACCAGCCTGAGCAAGAGTGAGACCCAGTCTCTACCAAACATAGAATATCATCTGGGTATGGGGCATGCACCCATGGTCCCAGCTACGTGGAGGATCACTTGAGCCCAGGGGACTGACGTCGCAGGGAGCTACCATGAAGCCACTGCACTCTACACCCTGCCCAGGGCGACAGAGCCAGACTCTGTCTCAAAAAAAAAAAAAAAAAAAAAAAAAAGGAAAGCTTAGGCCAAACATGTCCTCTATCTCGATTTAAGGATAACTTGCTATGAAACCCCAAAACCATAATTTTAGATCGTAAAACAACAACCTCTGTTTGAAAAAGAGTGCTACATATGTTGCTTTAGTCTGCTAATAATGGGGGTGCATCTCCCACTGTAGGAATTATTAGGACAGGAGGGTTGGGTGGGCAGATGCATGCAGACTTAGAGGGTAAGTCCCTTCTACTTGACTCATTCAAAAGGCCAAGCCATGCTTAGTGCATGCTTTTAACAAGTTATATGCTGAGCCAGTGCTATGTCAATATGGGTCACACAACCCAGATTCACAGTCTGCACACCACTGAATGACCAGGAATAATGGTCCCGGACCTAAATGCACGAAGGTAGCAAACATGATGATGGGCAGCCCACTGAGATACAGAAAGGCAGAAGTCCATGTCCAACTGGCTGCCTTCTCAATAGTTCAGATATCCCCATTTTCATGTTTTCCTTCTTGCCTGCGAGTAACCAACAATGAACTTCTTCATAACGCCTACTGTTTACCAAACCCTCAAACAAAAACAATGGCAGAGATGACTTGGTGCATATTCTTAACACAAACAATAATGTGGGTTTTTATTATTTATGGGCTAGGGAGAAGGGAACTTGGGTGGAAACCCATGATAGCAACCGTGCATTGAATCAAAGAGCAGAACCAGGGAAACTGGCTTCAGAGCAAATACTTGGCAGCAACATTCTCCTGGGAAGCTGGGGTCTGTCCCAGAGCCAGCCTCTGGGACTAAGAAACACAGAAAACTACTTGTTCCAAGGCACATGTAGTTTTTCAGGTCAGGTCAGGGACCCTGTGGAGGTAAAAGAAAAAAGGTTACGCAGGTTGCTGACCTCGCCCCCTCTAAGTCCCAGGAGAGAAAAATTATGGTGAGAGACGGAGACTGGGCCCGATTAAGAACAGATTTGATCTCAGCCTCCTGCACCGGTGGAGCAAGGTCAGGCCCCTTCCCCACACTCGCCCAAGGGCTGAGGTTGGCAGAGACGGTCAAGCCTGAGACTGTGTTCCCAGGAGGGACCTCAGCATTGCAATGCAGAGAAAGGACATGTCCTTCTGCAGCCCACCCCCTCAAGAACACTGAAGCAGGAATATTACCTGTCTATGAAGATCCTTGTTGGACTGAAATGAAAAGAGGGAAGGAATGGATTAAACCATTAAAAGCACCTTGGACAATTAGAGAATCTTTCCCGTCTCATCTTCCGTTGTCCGTGACTCGATGGATGCCCTGACGAGCCACAGTAAGGGGGACCATGTGCGTCTGGCTGTGCTAAGATCGCAGCCTGGGGTCCCTCCCTCCCTACGGGCCGTCTCTGCTCCCCGACCTGCTCCTACTATCTGACTTCAGTGGCCTCCAGAACTCTCTGGCATTGCCTTTGTGTCTCAGCCCCTCAGCAGGAAGATGGGTAAGGCAGGGAAAGGCAAGCCTCAGGCGCCCTGCACGCTGCTCACCTTTCCTGCTCCTCCTGTGCATGGACAGCCCCACTGCAAAGGTGATGAGCCCCAGCACAAGGCCCCCGGCTCCCGCCACCATCTTGCTCCGGGCAGAATCTGACTGTGCCTCTGGGGAGAACAGACCCAGGGTCACCCCTGCTCAGGCCCTGTCTGAGCCCCGGAGCCTGATGTAGAATATCAGCAGGAGGACGCTGAGGGCTCACACCTGGGATAAGGAGGAAATTTAGAGAGACCCACCCCCTCCATTCTGGAACTTAGGGTGTGACCTCACAAGGGGACAGATGCTGATTGTGGCAGTTGCCTCTTAAAATAACTAAGAATAGGCTAAAAGGCAGAAGGAAGAGAATAGTGCATGGATGAGGGCAATTCGGGAAGCTATCTCATTTCCTGGATTCTCTGACAACGAGAAAGAATGTGAATCCTCAAGATTCCCTGGGCCAGGGACAGGAAGTTCCCATTGCTACCAGCTTAAAACTACACTCAAGGGGCCAGGCGCGGTGGCTCACGCCTGTAATCCTAGCACTCTGGGAGGCCGAGGCGGGCGATTGCTCGAGGTCAGGAGTTCGAAACTAGCTCTGAGCAAGAGCGAGACCCCGTCTCTACTATAAATAGAAAGAAATTAATTGGCCAACTAATATATATAGAAAAAATTAGCCAGGCATGCCTGTAGTCCCAGCTACTCAGGAGGCTGAGGCAGGAGGATCGCTTGAGCCCAGGAGTTGGAGGTTGCTGTGAGCGAGGCTGATGCCAGGGCACTCACTCTAGCCTGGGCAACAAAGTGAGACTCTGTCTCAAAAAAAAAAAAAAAAACTACATTCAGGGGCTTGTACAGAAGAAGCTGGGGTGGATATGGCCCAGGGTATAGGCACAGAGCCAGCATGAGTGGGCCCCAGAGCCAGAGCGTCCCTGGTCCTCAGAGGTGGGGTCTAGACCGGTCATCAGGGAGCAACGCACTCCACTCCACAGTGACAGGACTGTCCAGGCTGGGGTGCTCCACTTGGCAGGTGTAGACATCTCCCTGCTGGGGGGCCATTTCCAGCATCACCAGGATCTGGAAGGTCCAGTCCCCGTTCCGGATCACGTTGGTGGACACGACCCCAGCTGTCTCCTCCTGTCCATTGAGGAACAACTGGACTTGAATGTTGCCTGGGTAGAAATCTGTCACGTGGCAGACAAGCAGGTTGTGGTGCTGCAGGGGCCCCTTCTTGGAGGGGGAGACGTTCACTTTAGGCTGGACTAGGAGTGGGGAAGAAAAACAGAGTAGCATTTGAGATTATTATTATTTCTTAGACATATTCATTATGGAATCCATTGGTAGATGCTTAAAATACGAATGATGTGATTAGGATGTCAGATAAGGATGGTACCAAAAAGATACAGATAGACCTTTAAATAGAGCATGCATGATCTTGAATAAAATAATGAGTATTGAGAAAAACAGAGAGACAAAGGCAGTACTTTGTAGCAAACTTAGGATAAATTTTAAATTGTAAGCAATTGATTAACAGTCTTTGGACAAAGAATATTTAATTAGCTGTGAAACTACCTATCCTTTTAATGTTCTGTCTTGATGTAAAAGATGCAAAATTTGCTCTAATAATTTCTTGAAATTAATATATACAGATAATGTCATTCTCTTGGTCTGTTAATCCAATAACTTTATTTCATAGAAAATAAATAAAATGAATCAAGCTTGACATGACTTATTCTGCAAATAACCTATATATCTTCCTGCCTCTCCTACAAAAATTCAAAATCTTGGCCGGGCATGGTGGCGCATGCCTGTAGTCCCAGCTACTCGGGAGGCTGAGGCAGTAGGATCACTGAGCCCAGGAGTTTGAGGTTGCTGTGAGCCAGGCTGACGCCATGGCACTCACTCTAGCCTGGGCAACAAAGTGAGACTCTGTCTCAAAAAAAAAAAATAAAAAAAAAAAATTCAAAATCTTCATTTTTACAGTTATACCCCCAAACCCAATGTTTTGAGCCGCTACATGCTAGATTAGTGGAAACCCCGTCCTTTCCCAAGCTTCTCCTCTGGGAACCGTCTTCCTGCCCTGCGCCTCACAGATGATTAGTGATGTCTGCACCACAGCAGCTCTGTTTGCTGGCGCCGTCCTCCCTCCCAAGCAGCTGGGGGCAATTTCCACACTGCTGCCTGCAGTTTGTCTTTGGGGTCTCTGCCACCAGCACCCTTGCTTCTCCAGAAGGCAGAGAGGATGCAACTGGCCCAGAGAACAGCCCATCCACAGGATTTCCCAGATCAGAGCTCCCAGGTCCTTATCACTGAGTTCTTTCCTCTCTACTTTCTACTGCCCAGAGACACAGATACCCGCGGTGGGGCTGGGCCAGGTAAAAGTGCAGCCTTGAACTAACCCACGACCTTTACCCCTGTGGTATTTCTGCCTTTGTCCAGACTGATCCAAATTGCCAGGCTTTTCTGCTCAGTGTGATTTGACTTTAGAGGCACCCTGTGTTTTCACTCTAGTTCAATCTCCTCTATAAACTGCAAGTCCTTCAGAATATTCAACCCATGTCTGAATCCCACCTATGGAGCATCAGAGGGTACACGTGCGTGTCTATTTTAAGGTCCCAGAACATTCCCTGGAAGGCACTGGGCTCCATACTCTGACGGGAGCTGGGCGGCCTGGCGCACACGAGAGACCTCCAGGGGGCGCTGGAGCCCAGGCTCAATCCCTAATGGTCTCATTCCTGACCGGGTTCAAACACGTTTCAGCAAGGCGAGGACTGCCGTCCACTCCTGTTTACTAGTTGCCTGGTCTGTGCCCACAAAACGTCTGTCCGACTATTTCTAGATGCAGTTGGGCATCCCCAGCGGACCCGCCACACTGCCGCCCTCCCGCGTCACTCTCCCCAGCGCCTGCTGTCCCCGCTCCGTTTCAGTCCCCATTACTACTTCCCTGGACAGCACAGACGGCTCCTTACCTGACCTCGGAAACTCCAGTCCCTCCTCTCCCTGGTCTCAAGCCATCCTCCTGCCTTCCGCCCAAGTGCTAGGGTCCAGGCGTCAACCAGTGAGCCTGGTCCACGTCGTCTTTCTTTGGACACTTCCCTCAACTCAGCACTTGGGCAGCTCTCCCGACTCAGGCCATCTCCAAGTCCTGCCCAATCTGTCCGCCACGTCCCTCTTAGCACATCGCCTTACCCTCCCCTTCCCCAGGAAAAGAGAAACGGGAGGCGCGACTTCCCCAGCCGCTCCCTTCACCCTCCTCCACTCGTCCCTTTTTCTCCCCGACGGGGCCCTTGTGTCGCCCAGGTCCCCCCAGTGCCACTGACTCGGGTCTCGGCTCCGCACCAGGCCGCCCGCCCTCCGGGTCGGCAGGAGAAGCCGGCGCGCCCGTCCCCATCCTTGAAACGCCCTCTTGGCTCTGCGCACGCCTCTCCGCTTCGCACTGAGACTGCCTGAAGGAACAGCACAGTTCAGCTCAGACACCCTCGTGCAGCCATGCTGAATCCCAGACAAACGTCCCGGCCCAGAGGACCGGGTGCCCCAGCCCACCCTCATCGACACGCACCCCTGCCAGCTCCCCGCGCAGCCGAGCGCTCTGCCCAGGTCAGCCCGCTCTCCAAACCCCGTTCCAACTTCTGTCTGCTCGGCCTCCCCGAGTCGTGGCACCACCGTCTGCTGTGCGGCCCGGGTCACCTTCTCTGCCTCAGTTTCCCCGGCACTTGTCTGCCCGGTGCTCCTCACTGTCTGGTCTCGCTGTCTGGTCTCCTTCACAGGCTGTGCTCTCTTTCTGGGCATCACCGCGCCCAGTTCGCAGGATCCAGTCCTTTGCCCTCTTCCCACGACCCTTCCCTACACAGTCCATCAGGCGTCCCCTGTCCCCACAAGCGCCGCCAGCCCGCCGTCTGCCCCCACGTCTCTCCTCCGCGTGGCCCGCTGTGCCTGGGGTGCCGGCTCTGTCTCCTCCGCGCGGCGGCCCTGCACGCGCCCTGTCTCCCGCTTTCCTTCGGGCTGCGCCGGGCGGCCGCCAGGCGCGGGGCTCTGTGTGCCTCCTCTCCCCTAGGCGTGCTCCGCCCAGCTCAGGCCTCGCTGCGGGACAAGCCTCCGGCGGGGCGCCCCGCCAGCCCCAGCCCCCAAATCCCCCTCCCGCCCCACCCCGCCGCCTCTCCCTGCCGCCTGCGCCTGGGTCCCCGGGCTGCCTCGAGCCAGCCGCGGCCTCACCTCGGCGCTGCGCCACGATGGGCGCCACCGCCTCGTAGTTGTGTCTGCACGCGGTGCCCGCCACGGCCCGCTTCCCCTCCACGAGGTCCTTCTGGCGGTTCCAGGACTCGGCGCTCCGCCGCCCCAGCTCGGTCACCGCCTGGAACAGGCCCACGTCGCTGTCGAAGCGCACGTACTCCTCGCGGTTGTAGACGTATCTCTCCACGAAGCGCGGCGTCCCCGGGCGCGCGTGGCACTCCTGGCGCGCCTGCAGCGCGTAGTTCTCTGCGGGCGGGCGGGACGGCTGAGCCTCTCTCTGTATTGACTGTTCTCCCCAGATCTTCCCGCTGTGGATTGGACTGTTTGGATTTTTTTTTTTTTTTGGAGACAGAGTCTCGCTTTGTTGCCCAGGCTAGAGTGAGTGCCGTGGC